TCCTCATCTCCAGGTCATGGCTTCAAAGAGGATCCTCTGTAACTTAAGGTGACTCACAGCACACATGTGAACAACTTCTGCCCTTGCACTGTATGGCCTGAGCCCTGGAAACATCCTCCAGAGCACATAAAGCAATTCCTACATCTCCTTTCTCTTCCTCTTTGCAAAAGCCAGCTGTTGTAGTTCAATGCTCAGCTGCAATAGCTCTCCACATCTCCTCCTATTCAGTCGCCTCTCTCCATACCTTGCAGAAAAATTAGGATGTGGGGTTTACCCATACAGTTTGTCCTACACTTTGCTGAGATGCTGGGATGGGCAGAACGAATACTGTTGCCACTCATTTTGGCCATGAGTTTTTCAACAGACAGAATGTTTCATTGTGCCTGCTGTGAGTGCTTACAATGCTACTGAACACAACACTGTCAACTGGGAAAGTTGCCCTTCCCCAGCATGCAGCTGCTAATGGAAACGGTAACCCCTCTTTTCTCTCTTTTACCCATGGCACAAGCATAAGGGGATGGAAAATACTTCTGCATAGTCTATGCTCCAGACTCCCATAAGGCCAGCACATCTAATTCACTTGATTACAATAGCAGGATACAGAAAGATGATGACAGGTGGGTAGACAAAACCTAGTACAGAATGGTTGCAAAGCCACCCTGCCATACTTGGAAGCACAGAAAGGGCTGCACACAACGGAAGTGGGAGGGATAGGACTTGCTTTACCTTCCTTGTCAACTCGGAAACCGAATTCATCATAGCGAAACTCTGGCTGCTCGACGGATTCTTCTTTCTGGGAGATGTGAGGAAGGACAACAGACACTTTCACCACTTTAGCACTGCATAACTGAACAGAGACACATGGATTTTGCCCCATCTCACCACTGTCCGCACTGTGCCCTTTGAGCACTTAGATCCCTTGCCCTTTAATTTTCAATGCCTCCCACCACAATTCCAAGCTGAGCAGATATTGCATACCATTCACATGTTGACTTCTCCACGGAAGTTGTGAAGCCCTGCCATCAAACCTGTACAGATTTTCCTAGCAATCCTTTTTCCAGCAGGACTTGAGCTCAGCCTCATATCAAGATCAGAACTCCCCACTTGGAGGGGCATGGAGCCCTCCTCATGAACTGAGCAATACACACACACACACACCAGCTAAAGAGGTCTCTGCTGTCTGCCTTGCTAACGCACAGCAGTCCTTCCTGTTACCTCTGCGCACACACTGCAAATTCAGCTCCCTGCACTGTGACATCTCCTGCCCGTTGCTCTCAGATTTTCTCTGAAAGACACCAGGCAAAACTGGGATTTGCACCAAAGGAAATTAAGATCCGTGACCCAAATCTCAACCTTCCTCATCTGTGCTCACAGTTGGCATTGGGGGATACATAGTGGAGGTTATAACTAGGCTTCTTTTAGGACTGAAAACCTACAGATACCTCCCTTTTCCTGCAAGCCCACCTGCTCCTCCTGTAGGGACTCTTGGAAGCACTGAACCCAGGCAGCACCCCAGAAATGTGTTTCTCGCATAGCTCCATGATAAGCTTTAATCTGCCTCATTGGGCTCAACTGCCTTCAGCAAACTGTGGATAAGTTATGAAATTCCATGGCTGCTTCCTTCCTTCCTCCTCTGCCCACCTGACAAGCCTTGAGGCTGGCATTTCCTGCCTTACACAAGCCATCCAGAGTAGCTTGATGATGACAGAGGCTCCCTGACAGTGTCAACATTTTTACACTGGAGCAATAGTTGCAAAACAGCAAAGCAATAATTCACACAAGTTTCTTTGTACTCTGCAAGATCCTCTTGCAAAACCCAGGATGCAGCCACAAAGCATGTGAATTTTAAGTGCCCACCACTAAAGCACCAGAGGAAAAGTGTGCCTCTCCCTCCTTTTCCCTGTGGCTTTCAGAGACCACCAGAAACCACCAGGGTCCCTCTACTTTTGCACAGCCAGAGAACACCCCCTCCCTGCCCCACACTATACCTGTGTGTATTTTGCCAGGATGTCCTGAGGCCAAATGCTGGGAGTGAGTGCTGAGAAGGGACCCCCAGCAGAGGGAGTGTGATGGCCTAAACAGAAAGAGATCAACACAGCAGTGAAAACCTGGAAGAACACCCTTGGGAAGACACACTTAATACAAACTGTTTCAGCAAGGGAAGGACTCATTCTGCAGTTTGTCGTGACTGCTACTCTAGACAGGGAAACAGCTCCCAGTTCACCCTGAGTGAGAAGGCAGCTGGGTCACAAAGAGTGGGGTTGTTTCCTTGCTCCCAATTTAACCAGACAGTATGTTAATATAAAGAATGGCTCTTGGAACCAGGAACTTTATTTTATGAAGTTTCTGCTGAAGAAAGAGCAAGCAACCAAAGAAGCAGATACTGAGTCCATTTCTGTCTGCTCACCGGACATCGCACTAGGTAAGGCTGAGTAGCAGAGGCTGTCAGCAGGTCCAGAAGTGCTGTTCGAAGAGGTCAGGGGTTACTATCCTGTTAGAAAGAAAAGGCAAGGAGAGAATTCAATTAGCATCTAAAAACACGGTGGGGGACAGAGAGACCCCTCACTCACAACTTCTCCACGTGAAAATTAAATCCCTTAGTATTTAAGTTCTGCCCCCACAAAAAATAAATTCCGGAGACTGGAATTTCCTCTTGATTTCATGCCTACTGACCAGCTAGAAAGAGCCATTTACCAAATTCCTTGTGACAGTACCACCATTGCTGATCGAAAGAATGTCAAAAACCAAGACAATTTTTATGACCTTTTCCATCACATATTGCGAGTCCTATATTTAATTATCAATACAAAAAACCCACACCATACATCATCAGTCTCTGAAGACACTGACCATGGAGAAACAGTGAAAAGGGTTTAAGGGGGTATCATTAGATGCAATACGCCTAAAAGAGATTTTAGTAGCAGCATCACAAAGTACAGGAGCGAAGTGTGTAGGGGTGTGGAAACACAGCTCTCTGAAGGATGTGGCCATGGACAAGATGCTATCAAGTAACTCTGCAATGAGCCAGGAACCAGGCTCCTTTGAACTAAAGCAGGCAGTAGAGCTCAGATGATTAAACAGCCCACATCCCTCCCCTCCCTTGCTTTCCTGGCACTAGTTAACAGCAGATTTTTATGGGTTTTTTTATGGGGATTTCCAGGAAAACAATGGAATAGTTCAGTAATCAGAGAGAGAGATTCTGGACTTTAGGATCAACCTTACAATTTATGTGTGGGAGACAGCAAGAGCCACCTCTAACAAACAGATAAAGCCAGTGCTGGGATATATCAGTCACTTGCACTTCCTTGGGAAAGAACATGGGAGAAACTAACACATCTGGGATGGTTTTTCCAGCTTCCCCTTTCCAGTAAAGCTACTTATGACTGTAAACTGCTAAAAGTAGGAACCCAAGGGATTCATCCAGCAGGCCCTGTCAAAGTTGATCTACAGTGCTGAATAGTACAGAGTTACATTGCCTTTGCATCTCATTGAGTTTTCCAGGGAGCACTTGTAGCCTGAAAGTGACTTGTTACAGCATTCCAAGATAAGCAGCCGTACAACACTGCAAAAGCATAAAAAACATCTGTGTCTGGAAACACAAATGATAAGCCTTCCTCCTCCCAGATTTAGACAGTTCTCTGCCTGAGAAAGGCTGACATGGATCAACAGATGCTCTGATTTTCTGACACCAACTCTTAGGGCAAAAAGAATAGCAAAGAAACTACAAAAAAAATCCAGCTTTTATTTCTGAGAAGTAATGTTGTCCACAGGATGGTAAGCTGCTTACCCACCAGTTCTGTAAACATTTGTTTATCTCCCCATCACTCTAGTCCCATTTGTTCCCTTAGCACTAACTCTTCTCTCAGTAGCTGAAGACATAACAACAATTACAAAATGAGCATCTGCATACTCGTATTACATGGGAATGCACACAGCATGCCCACCAAGCAGGTACATTTGCTGACAGTACCTATTTCCCTTTCAACATCACTGTGAATGTATTTTGATATTTTTCAGGCTTATCATTCCCTTGCAACCATGACACTCTGAGCCTGCAAAGTGTCCTTTTACTCTGCCTTCTCTCAACCCAGTTAACCCTGTTTCCAACGACTTTTACTAGGAATGCAGTCACCATGTGAAGCATCTGCCATGCTTCTCATTGCTTCTCATTGCCTCAAGCCTGTGAGCAGGAATCCCTCTCGGCCATTATTAACTTTCATTGTGTGCACAATCACTGCTGAACCAACTTGCGACGGAGGAGCTGGGCCAGTGTTTGGAAGAGTAGGAGAGTGCTGAGTGAGTTTCTCCTCATCCCAAAACAGGTGTAGTAGAGGGAACACCTTCCTTGTCCACGTCACCGCACACCGGCCTCCGCCTTGGGGATCACTCCCCTGCCTGCTGCCTGCTCGCTCTCCTGTCCCTGACATTAGAGCACTGAACTTGGTGGGCAGGTTTTTCCAGCCCCTGGTTCCTATAGAAACGTTCCTGCAAGCACCGATCTGGGACAGAGTCCAAGGAGAGTGTGAGGCTCACCTTGCTCCTGGCATGGCTGTCCAGAAGGGCAGGGAGAGAAGCAAGAATCATACCAACAGAAGGCTCCTGCTGCGGCACACGGAGGCAGTGCCAGGGACTGCCCACAGAGACAGACCAAGAGAAGGTGCTGAGGTCACTGCACCAGCCCTTCCAGCATCACAGGAACCAGGAAGAAAGTTCCCTGGCATAGCAAGGCACCACCCAGAGCAAGACAGGAGGTGGAGGAGGATACCTGGTATACAGTAAGTTCTTTCCTTTGACTGAGGTATACAAACCTAAAGCAACTCTTCAACTCTCCTAGCCAGGAGACAAGTAACAAAAGGGGCTCCCACAAAGCCTGTGAAACCACACCTGTGAAATTGCTACAGCTCCTAGCTGGGTTATCAGCACAGTACACACTTCTGAAAACAAGAAATAGTATGAAATACAAAGGAAAAAACACATCAGATCGAACAAATATTAATGGCAACTCCCAAACCCTCAGAACTCCAAAACTAAAACCACACACACATTAAGAAGCATCTCCCACTTTTAAAGGTAATTTAAGTTTCCTATATGAAGCAATCTTGGCCACATAACAGGCAGTCCTCACATTTTGAACGAAATATACTTTTTGTTAAAATGCTAATGGTACCTGTTATTTGCAGATTTATTTTTTGTGTTCAGACTCTAAAAATAATCACACCACCATTGGTTCCAGTCTGCTAGAAGACAGCTACACTGAGTGTGTGTACCTGAAAAAGAAGGCTGCAAGGGAAGCGTGTAGTCAACATCAGGTACAGCCACTTGAAGCACTCCACCCGCAACACTTTTGCTGGAGTTGCAAATACACACCATGCAAGATTATAGTTAGTTTCTTTTCCAGCGTAGGCGTCCTTTAGAAATGGATGTCTGCAAAGGAGACCTGCAAATTTACTTCCACCAGATAGCAATCTCCTGCTGCCTATGTTTTACTTGCTTGGCCTCTTTTGGCACGTGATCTCCACATAAGCCTGCAGCAGTAGTGCCTGGATGTGCTAAGCATGAAATGATGCTGTCTGGAGCCTTTCAATAGGATCTTAATTTTGGGACAGAAACTCCTTCTCAGGAGTGTTATTCCCCTGCTGATTTTAGCAACTAAAAAAGGTAAGAAGCCAATAAAAAAAGAGCAACATACCTCTAGCAGAAAGACTGTGCAGAAGACAAACACTTCACAAAGTAATGTTTTTGTATGCTAAAAACTTTACAACTACAAAGGAGCCACTAGTAAACATCATCAGAAGGACTAGAACAAGCCCAACAATTCCTTCTAGAATAATTTTCATCCACTGTCATAAGAACAGCATACACAACACCTCTTCTGACAGTATATTAGCATTGGAAAAACTCTGTTTTCCTCTATGTTTAATGAACGTGAAGCAACATTGAATGCAGTAAATCCCACTGCTACCTCTGCACTCTCAGCTGGTTTCCACTGCTCTCTATTCTCTTCCTTTATTAAAAAGCAAACAGTTTGGAAGAGAGAAAAGTGATTGCAAAATCACAGTACCCATCAGGAGGCCATGCACTTAGGTATAGTTCTAAAAACCTCTTCCAGTTCACCTTTTGAAATCCCAAGTAGATTGCATCCAATTTAACATTTCCCTCTTTCAGAAATCAGACAAAAACTCTGCACTGAATCAGGCAGTTCAATTGTGTCCTCTCACACCCAGAAAACTTTTGTTTTCCGAATTATAATCCTGACTTGCTCAATGAAATGTCCAAAAGGAACTCTCAGCAGGAAGCCCTTGGCCTTCCTTCCCTTCCCCCATCAGTGTCTCCCTCCAAAGGCATATCCTGGAGCTGCAAATGCCATTAGTCCATGAGTCAATATTTACTTTGCACGCAGAGTCAGAAGAAATCTCCAGCTTCACAAACAAGTACATAAGTGAGCAAAGCACAGACACACACCTGACCAAGGGGTGGAAAGGATGCCGATAATTTCTTTCCCTTGCACCCTGACACCCTAGCTTTTTAAAAAACGCAGAATCCCATGCAGACACTGACACACAGCAGCTGTGTTACACTGCTGGTGAACCTGGGTCATTCCAGGAACTATCTGTTCAAGGCTTACAAACCATGACCAGCCTCACATTGCTTTGGGTGTTGAGCAACACACTGCAAATGCAGGCGGGAGGCGCTGAGGGAGCCTTCGTGCTTCCTTTTTACAACGTGACTGGGAATGAAGAGCTGAGGGACTTTAACTGCCCTCAACCCGCTTTCTGGTAGAGTGGAAGTGAAGCAGAGATACACCGAAAACCTAGAGCAGGTCTTGAAAGGGGGATGTGAGACCTGGAGAGCAGCGAGGGAGAGGCTGTGACAGCCTTGCAGAGCCGGGTGGGCAGGGAGGAAGGATGGCAAACTGCTGACAGTGTTATGCACTGACTGCAAAGGCACCACTCAGGACTCCAGAGCTGCCCAGCCATCAACTGGGATCACATACTGACCGCAGGAATATGGTGGGGCAAAGTGCCTCCTCTCAGCTGCTTCAGGGAACTTAGAGCAACACTTAACAGAGGCAACAAAAAGTAAACTGGAACTCTCTGTCTCCTGCCATAAAGCACCTTGTAAATTCCTGGCCTCATTGGAAATGTAATTCCATGCAGAAATGCAACTAAAATGTACTTCAATGCAACAGTTCTGTACCCTGTTCGGTGTTCAGCAAGTCTGCCTGCTGCAACGACAGAGAGCCCCACTGGAGCTGGAGGTGCTGAACCACTGACAGTTTATACAAAAGGAACAGAACAAGGGACTTTCAGTTTTGTATCCATTTCATCTCCATTTTGAAAATAAGGATGTGAAAAAGCAGAATCCTGCTTCCTACTGTTTATGCATTGGACAGACAGACACAGATGGACTTCCTGATCACAGTTCAATGTCTCAAGCCTGTCTCTGAAAAAACTCTACACAATACCTGCTTATGTAGAATGCAGATATCTTACATATGAACAGATATCTTATTTTCAGAGCAGAACTGCCTCTTATTTGCCTGGCACCAGAGCAAACAGTGTGCCAGCTAAACGTGAACTACACCACCGTGGAGAAACTCTTGTTAGCCAAGACCCTTGGGATCAGAAGAGAAGGAGTTTCCCCTTTCCTGGTGCTCCCATTGCACGAGTAGTGAAAAGATGGGACTATAGAGTGCTCCTTGCATCTCACACAGGATTACAACTCAGTACTAAAACAACAGTTGTTGGAGTTTTCTCTCTGCATTGAATAATGTCAGAAAAAAAAGCCAGGATACCAACTAGCATGGTGTTCACTCTCGTTGCACAGTAAAATTCTCCTTGCTTCCAACACAGAGGCGAGAAAACCCATATGTGCAATCACCCTAGTCTCAAAGGCTTAGGGTAAAGGCAATTCCACATTAAACACCACAATGTAAATATAAACCAAAGGTTTCTGATTACTGTCTAAGGAGGCCCCAAACACACCTTCCATCACAGTCAGGTACTGCACAATAAATGGTCACTTTCACCTAAAAGAACACAGTGCAGGACCAGAACTCTACAGAAACTCGTTTTCCCCAAAACTCCCCAGAAGTGGTTTTCACCTTCTGGCCCATGAACTTCTGCAACACTGCAAACTATTATAAGATGTCTGAGGAAAGTAATTGCAACTGTCTAATTTCATTTCAACACAGAAGTTTGAAAGAAAATATTTCTGCTAGAGATGCAGGGTTGCACCAGGCAAAGAAAGCCTGAAAGACACTTGTGACAGTTATTTAAAGTCAGGTATTGTGAAGTCTTTTATATGACACTCCTGCTCTGAGTGGTGACAAGCAGTGCCATCTGAGGCTCTCCATCACCAGTCCTGTTGGCTCATCCCTGGTGAAAGTTTGATTCTCAAGCTGGTCTCGTCCCACTGTTCCCAGTGACAAAGGAACAAGAGCCTGAAGAGCGTCTCTTCCTTGACACAGCCTCAGAGGGTTCTGCAGAGGTTTAGCTGTCAGGGTTTGCTGTTACCTTGGTGAGGTGTTAGAAAGACTCAATTCGGGTCACTCCCCTGTACCTCTGTTGAGTTACTATTTCCTCCAGTATTCACAAAAAAAAGTCAGATTCACGTCCCAGGACCCTAAGCAAGTCTCGCTTCATTTGGCTTCAGAAAATGTTTTTTTAAGGAAAGTATACCCCATAGCATTTGAAATTTTTCTCCTTCAGGGCTCTGTCTTTACAGAACTCAACTTTCTGAAGAGGTTAGTAACACTCAAAACACCTCTCAGGACTGTTTGCAAAGCCCTTATCTAGCATGTCATGTTTGACTACTTAGATCTTGCTCCTGCAGAAATTTACATGCACAGATAACTTAAGAGGAAAAAAACCAAAATATACAATGACTGTTAACATTTGTGACAAAACAAGACAAAACCTCTGATATTTCCTGATTCTGGGGATCAGGAAGACTTCTTCTCCAGAAAAAAAAGGCTGTCAGGTTATGGACACTTTCTTTCATCTCTGAATCATCAAATACTTCCCAGTCAAGAAATACTGCACTGTCTGGGCAGTAACAACAGTTCTTGTAGTCATCCTTATAGCAATATACTATTTTTTTTTCACCTATCTCATAAAACAAGTGTATTTTCATTTCTCCTAGGGTGATTTTCTTAAGACAGAAACAAAATTGCTCTGTTACCAATATACCTTGTTGCATTCCAGTTTAAGAAAAGCTGAGGTTTCCTCAGAGACAAAACAAATGTGGCAGGACAACATCCTCCTCTTTCCTACCTAGTGTCAACAGCAACACAGCTGACAAGTGAGATTTTCCCCAGTGCTCCCACATACTTACCCCTGTGTAAGCTTTATGTATTTAAAACCTAGACCCTGTGATGAAAGGTGGCATAGGAAGAAGTTTAAGCAAGTCTTTGTGTGGCTGAGGACACAAACCTGACGTGCCAACACCTCTCCATCCCTTGAGGGACACTTGGGACACTGCATTCACAACACAGAATGAAGCAATTTGTTTACCTCATCCTACCTGACAGTTGCAAAATCTCTGTATCCTATCCATTTGAGCTAGGATAGGAGCCAGGACACCCACTGTGATACAGATCACCAACTAGGATCACTGCTGATTTAGCTAGAAGACCTGTAGAACCATGTACACCAAAATATAAGGCGCCTTACCTTTACCACTGCAGAGAAAGTTGCAATACTTCTTAGGATTCATTTTTTAAAAGTTTTCTTTGCTTCTTATGTGTTGGTGAGAAGTTTGCAACTGACAGTCAGGAAGAGACATCATCCCGACCATTTCCAAAACAGTTACTACCTCAGGAGGGGTGAACTCATCAACTCCTTTGTTAAAGCATCCCAAATACCAAACATGGGAAACAGTTCTGCAACATTCAAACCAATTCACTAAGAATGGGACTGAGACTGGTCGCCCATTTCACACAGATCCCTTAATCAATAACCTCTACTGTTACCACGCCACCTCTGGTGAGAGAAATAGATTTTTAAAGGCTAAACACTTTTGATTATTGTCCATCTGTTAAGATTGTCAAGGTCCTTTAGAACACTGACATTAGCAAAAGATTTCATCTTGCAGGAAAGCAAGTGACAGGTTAAAAGCACAGCAAAGAAGAAAAATCTAAATTACATTAGCAGGGACCCCAAAATTGGAGAATTATTTCAGTCCTGAGCAGGTGTGGAATACTTTCCTCACTTTGACTCTATCATCGCCTGACCAGTGCAATTCCTCCAGAAATATGCCCCTCCTCTCTGCTGTCCCTCACAGATTCCCTTCACCCTTCTTCAGAGGAACAGTCACTATGAATGACATCTTCCTGAGAATACCAAGCCACGTTATTAAAACGTCATTGTAAAAGGAATTGAGAAAGGAAGTATTTGTCATTTTAATCTGTTAAATACAGAATTAACATAACTTTGTATTAACATGACACAAGTACTCCCCACCCTGACCTCTTTAATTACATGTCATGGCTCTTCCCACCCCCTTCCTTCCCTTTTACTTTGTGAATTCTTCAGACTAGTAATCCAACCCTTGTTTCTGTGTAGGGAAAGCTACACACACAGTGTGCAGATCCAGAAATACATAATGAAACTGATTTTTATTCCAGTGGCTGTTTCTTTTCAGGCCACCACTCCAGACACTGTAGCAGCTAAAAAACTAATCTAGAATTTAGATTATCCAGCAAGCAACTGTATTCTGATCAACAGCTCAGCGAAAGCACAGCAGTGCCCCACTCCTGCCAGGCTGGCAGCTCCTTCTTGAGTGATTTCACGATCCAGTCTTGCACTACTACAAAAAACACTGATCGTAATTCCAGCAAGACTACTTCTCTCTCCCATTTATTCCCACAAAAGGATCCCTCATTTCCTGAAGGCACTGTTACTACTTTATCCTTCCCTCCCCCAAAAAAATCACAGCAAGCCATGAAGAGTAGGGCTGAGACATCATGAAGTAGGAAGCTATGACATCACATAACCCCTCCAACACTGAAATCTACTTGTTTAGAAGGAAAGTACCTGCTTAAATTCAGACATCCCTCAAAAAATTAGGAAGGAAGCAAAGCAGATACAGGGAGGAAATTTTTCCTGTCCCACCCTTACCAGATCTGTGAAGAGACACCAAACAGCCGTCCCGGAGCCCACAGCCACTGCCTGCAATGAGATTTAAATCCGTGTGACAGCGGTTCGTCACTCCCTTGAAAATGCATCACCAGGTAAGAGAATTACATCTGTCTCCCGCCTTCCTGACATTTATTACAGCTGACAATCACGGGGCCTGCAGCACGTCTATTTGTGCCCATTGCCTAGAGGATACTGCCATATTTCCATCTCAGTTCCGTGACCGTTCCTTCCCCCCAGCCAGACAGGAGACAGACTGTCTCTCCTCCAGGGCACCTCCGAAAAGGTGCACGCGTGGAGAGTAAATGAGTATGGCAGAGCAGGACGAACGAGATCGCCGGGAGTCGCAGTCACAGGCAGGAGAAGAGGCGGGTGAGGGCAGAGGCACGTCCCGGGGAGCAGGGGAGAGCCCAGCCTGGAGAAGGGGCGCCGGCAGCGCAGGGAGAACGTGGCCCGGCAGCTCGGCGGCGAAGCCGTGCACAGCATGAGTCACTGGCGGAGCCAGACCCTGCGTCAGCGCAGCAGGTGCGCGGGAGCCTCCCCGGGGATGAGGGTCCCTGCCTTCCCCCGGCCCGGGCCCGGCGAGCGGCGCCGCGGCCGCGCAGCCCCTGCCCCGCACACAGCCCCGGCAGCGGGGCCGCCCGGGCGGGGAGCAGGGCAGGGAGGGGGTGCTGGGGGAGAGGTGTGCGCGGGGGGCCTGACACGGTGGCTCGACGGCTCCTGGGGAGCCCCCCCGGCGCGGCGGCAGGCGCAGGGCTGGCAGCCCTGGAGGGTGAGGGGTGGCCCGCGGGCAGAGCCCCCTCCCCGCGCAGCGCCGGTCCCGGCCCCGCACCCACCTGCTGCCGCCGCGCTCCCCTCAGGGCGGGCGCCGGCCCCGACCCGGCGGCCCCGCACGCCGCTCCGCAGGCGCATGCGCGGGATCCGGGCGGCGGCGCGGGGCGCGCTGGGGGCTGTAGGCCGGGAAGCGCGGTCGGGAACGCGTGGGCAGGCGCCGGGATGCTGGCGCTCACCCATCGCTCGGGGCCGGGGGAATCGCCCCTCCAAGCAGCGCACAGACCCAGGCGCCGCCAGCAGAGCGCCAGTGTCACAGGCACGGGCTGCAGGAACACAGGGCAGAACAATCCAGAAGCGGGATTAGTCACAGAATCACAGGATCAATTAGGCTGGAAAAGACCTCTGAGATCATCGAGTCCAACCTATGACCGAACACCACCATGCCACTCAGTGCCACGTCCAGCCTTTCCTTAAACACCTCCAGGGACAGTGACTCCACCACCTCCCTGGGCAGCCTATTCCAGTGTCTAATCACCCTTTCTGTGAAGAAATTCATCTTAAGGTCCAACCTAAACCTCCCCTGGTGCAGCTTAAGATCATGTCCTCTCATCCTGTCCCTAGTTGTCAGGGAGAAGAGGCCAACACCCACCTGGCTACAACCTCCTTCCAGGTCGTTGTAGAAAGCAATAGGTCTCCTTTTCTCCAGACTAAGCAGCCCCAGCTCCCTCAGCTGCTCCTCATCAGACTTGTGCTCCAAACCCTTCACCAGCTTCGCTGCCCTTCTCTGGACCCACTCCAACACCTCAATGTCCTTCCTGAATTTAGGGACCTAGAACTGGACAAAGCACTCAAGGTGTGGCCTTGCCAGTGCTGAGTACAGGAGGAGAATCGAGAACTGCACAGTCCAGAGCTGCTCCTGAAGCACTGCTTGGTGGTGACCTGTTCCCACCAACCAAGGAGAGGGGGGAACTACATCTTTGGCTGGTGTCAGTGCAAACGCTGCCAGAAAGAAGACAGGTCATAAACTAAGGAGTAGAAGTCTCTTAAAGGATTGTGCCAGTTTTCTAGGAGGGTGACATTTCCTCTGTGTCATTGTTATTTGTTCAAAACTTTCTAGGAAAACAAGCCCAACAGTTCACAGCTGGCAGCCTCTGCCTAGCACAAAGATTTATTTCCAGATGATAAGAAAAGGTACATTAGCTGATCCTCTTCCCTGCACAGTTTCGTTGTTTGTTTGTTTTTTTTTTATGGAGGAAAGAAGACCAAAAAAGGAAGACTTCTGCATATGTCCGTTTTCTTTCTTGGCTATCCATTTGAGTAATAGTCTGAAAATTACCAGTGTTCAATTAGTTATCCTTTTCAAACAGATGGCTAATTAAATGTTAATAGCACAAGCAGGCAAAATGTTTTAAACACCATAAAACTCAGAAATGTTTGAGACATTTTGAATGCCATAATCTAGGGGCAAGGTAAAGCCAGAGAAATCTCAATGAAGGGAAATCATGGCCTGAAGCTTCCCACTGCTCTGACTATTTAATATAGACAAGCCTCATTAAAACTGTATTTTGAAATCATCTTTAAACAATCATGGCCTCAAGGAGAGCAGGTAGGTTCTTTCAATTAGTTCTGCTTTTCTTAATTCTTTCCAGCAACCACGTTTCAAAAATCATCAAGTAATCCCAGTCATGTCATCTCTGAGAATCTGAATAAATGAGAGGCATTTATAAAAGAGGGAGCTTTTTATTACACTGACGCAGAAGAAATGGTCTGTGAGGTAATAACACTGGAGGAAGAGGTAAGGGAACCATTCCAGTTTAAGTCAAAGGGAGAAGAGTTTGGTCCAATACTGAACGGCCAGTAAAGCACAGACATTACAAACCAGAACTTTCATGTCAGAAATAAAATCAAAGCTCTTGAATTTCTCTGGCACCCAATGAATCCCAGCATCTTTCTTTATCAGAAAAGACTTACTTGTAGTAGAGATCAACTTTCACATGTTAGAGTCCACCTACCATTCAGTATCAATCACCTGTGACCAAGGACCACAAGGATTGTGGCCAAGGACCACAGTCATAGCCAAATCACAGTGGCTGGTTGCTAATTCAAACTTGCAAATATGATTTGTCAGGCAGCACCTGGCATTGCTCTTTGATAGCTGGCATTGCTTCTATAAGGGGCCAATGAAAGGTGCTATGATAAAGTTACCTTGTCACAATCAAGTGTTTCTCAATAACTCAGCACACTATAAATGGAGGCTTGATTAAACAGCAGACAAAGAATGAAAAGCCTATCTGGAATCAAGGTGGCTGTAAACTCTGGGGGTTAAATGCACTGCAGAGAACCAAAATAGCGTGACACAGTAAACAGATCTGGGTCAATAAGGCTTTTATTATTTTCTTGTACCCACACACCTTTGCAGACTATACCTAAAGTGCCAGGTCAATTTTCCCACCCATCTTGCTTTGGTATGGAATCAGTGCTGGTCGAACTTCCTCCTTCAGGAATTTTGCCACCTGTTCAAGAAAGATAAACAAAATTTGGAAAAGGGCTTGCCTTCTCCTCCCCATTCAGACCTGCTTGTTCCACCAGAGTCTCTCTTTCACAAAGATACCCAACGCTCTGATACATCCTGGGTCAAAAATGTGAAGCCCACAGAAAAGCAAGACGAGAAAGCCAAGGGAATCAAAAGAGAGAAAGATGCCTGCCTTTGTAATATGGGCAGAGTTACACAGTATGTCCACTCTCTGGCATACGAAAGGATGCAGGATGAAACAACAGACTCCATTACAATGCATAGCACCCATAGCCTCTTTCCACTACTTTACCTGTTGAGGAGCACGTCCAGTGAAGGAGGAGGGATCCAACAGGCTTTCAAGTTGTTTATGGATAGGGCTGAAGTAAGGATCAGCACGGACACGGGCAATTAAGTCATTATCACCCCCTTCCTGTTTCACAACAGCAGCTGCTTGCTGGGAGAGAACACGAATCTTCTCATGGCAATCCTGTAGTTACAGAAGGAAGAAGATACGAAAAGAAAAAAGTCATTCCAGTGCTACTGAAAGCACATGCTCATCGTGCCAACTTGTGTGGGAGGGAGAAATATCAAAGTGTACGGCCCCGGACAGCACAGCAATGACACACAGTTTGGACTGCAGCATCTCATATACCACTACATTAAAGCAAGATTTTTTCATCTTTCCACATCTGCCCTTTGAAGTTAAAATAGTCTGAATGTCACACGCATTCCCTGTTGAATTATACCACAAACTTATGACACTGGAATCCTTTACATTTCTTCAAATTTCCCAAATACTTTTAGATGTCCCTTTGGGATTTTTTTTTCAGTTGCAAACAATGTAAAACATCTACAGATTTGGAAAAGGGAAAAGTATCTGTCCAACCTAACAAGCAGTGAGACTGTAGAAACCATGGCTTACATATGGACAGACTGAGGAAAAAAGAACACCTTACAAATCCGAGGACCTTGAGACATTCTGTCCCAAAGAACCCTCGCACGACACTAAGACTGGCAAAACAGTTGTAACAATTTTTCTAAAAGACTTCTTATCCCTTGACTTACTGTGGAATCAATCTGTAAGAACAAAGGAACCCAAGTGTAGTCAGGGACCACCTGCAAAATCAGATGCTGCCATGCTGGCCTTAAAGTACAGCCATGTGGTTCCATTTACAGCCATGCGAGAACCTTCTCTTCATCTTCCTGTTCCCTCCATCCAGGTGTCATTTTGCTTCAGCACTGACCTGCCTCAGCTGAACAGATCTGTCCTCTCAGTGTTTAGGGAAAGGAGCTGTTTAGTAGTGGGGAAAGGAAATGAGTTGGGTGGGAAGTGGGGAAAACCTAAAAAATGTGCTGTTTTAAAGTTCCCAGTACAGGAAAACAGAACACATGAATATGAACACCTTTTATAAATGTACAACTCTACAGGTGTGTAATTAAACAGCACCAGAAAGAAGCCAGGCCAATAACAGACACAAATGAATCACAGAATCACACTCTTAAGTCTAATCATAGTAGAGAAGACTGTTTAAGAACAGGATACTTTAGAAAGAGAGCCATCTGTAAAGATAAAGAAACTTATTCACATGATGTGACGCCTTAAAACATTTGATAAGGAAGCTTACTCACTGACCCAATGACAAATATCAGAGATGCAGAGGGAAAAAAAAAAGGAAAAAGGATGTTTCCTGACCAACATCATGGCTGAGTTGCCACAAGTGTTTCAGAAAACTAGAACAACATATATTCTACTCAAAGCTTCTGTCAAAACCCGTTTGCTAATTACCATCTTGCAAGTTTAACTTCTGTCTCTGATGTGGAAATAACCACAGAATAAAAAATTACTATCTAAAAGGTAAGTGAAAATAAGGTGTTTTATTAAGATGTAAATTCAATTATCAATTTTGACCTGAATCATGACATTAAATGATAAGGAAATATAATCTAATGGTGTCTGTATTTATTTGCTAAGGAAAATATTTAATTTCAGTTTGCTTGAATACAGAAAACTGAATGAAGTACCGTAAACAAAGCTGTTAATATACTACACTAAATTAGGGAAGAATGATACACGAATGAATGGTTCAGAATGGTCTTACTTGCTTTTTTGTTGAAGGACTGATTCATTCTCTTTTAATTTATAAGGTAGCCAACTGCCAATATGCTCCATTTAAAGAAACCTGGCCTGTGTTTCAAGTTCCTTCAAACACTTACAAAAGGAAAACGCCTACTAGTATTTAATATAAAAATAGTTCTCCCTCTTCGCCAGCAGGCAGTCAGATTAGTTCAAACACACAGTGCACCTAACCAAAAATATGGATCTCCACAACTGCTCTCCCCTCAGAGGGCAGTCTGGCTTTGCAGCACCAGTGTAATATTAATAACTCTCTGGGAGCAGGTGAAGAGCAAAGAAAGGTGAGACAAGAGCCCAGATACTTTTGTTTCTCAGGAGACAAACATCAGGCAGGGAACAAAGGTATTTCGGACGCTGGATTTGTACCTGACGATTGCCCCCTGCTTTCACCATCGCCATGATTATATTCTCTGTGGCCATGAACGGCAGCTCCTGCTGGATCCTCCTCTCAATCACCTTAAACAA